CCTGCCTCCTCCCTCCACTGCGCCCCGACCCGCGGGCTTCTCCTCAGGGACACCGTGCGGGGCGCGGCCTCCCGCCCGGCACCCCGGGGAGCTTTCTAACAGACCGTCTGAAAGAAACGGGGTAGTGTATTTTTTCCATTCTCCTTCTACAGTCTGTTCGCAAAAGTGACCCCAGGGCTTCTTCTTGTAGCCAGGCAGGGCCAGGTTATAGTCCACGGTGACTCCACATCCTGGTACAAGCAGAGCTGAAACTATAATTAATTTGCTTTTCTGCAAAGAACCTGGCAGGCCACCTGCTCCTCGCACCTGCTGCACAGCTAAGCTTAGCATCTGGCTGCTGCTTTTGCATCACTTTAAAGTTTAATTTCTGTCAATAGCCATGAGCCAGAAAAAAACCCAACCTTCAATAAATCAAATATACTAAAATAGATGGCTCTTTGGTATTCTGTATCCCGTAGTCCTCTGAGGAGAACCGGTTGTGCTCCTAGGTAGAGCCATTAAACCAATTAACCCCTCTGCACCCTACTTCTCCATCTGTAACATAGGGAGAGGGATGCTTATGTAGTTAATGGTGTGCAAACCTACATTTTTCTAACATCTTCCTCTCTCTTCCCCGTAAAAGAGATGTTTGTGAGGAGTGTTCTCGGTAATATAATTGCCATATCCAGTAGAATATCTGGCCTTTTAGATGAAAAAAACAATCATCCAACATGTTGTTTTCTTAAGTTTCTAGAAGCTGAAAGAAAGATTTGTGAACTTCCGTATTTTACCCACATGTATTTTTCTCTCCTTCTCACATTAAAGCCAGCCACTTTCCATGGATCCAACAGCTTTTTACTATCTATAATGCTGAGGGATTAATTCAGTTGTCTTTGTACTACCAAAAAAATCTTGAAATTTACTGACAAAATTTTTTTTTGTCAGTAACACTCTCACCTTGATAAATTCAAGGTGTCCGGAGGAGAATTAGCATTATACAAAGAACATCTGAAGCAATTCCATAGCACCAGGCTATGTTTAGATGAAGTTATGACTGCAGTCACACAGATCTTTAAAACATTGATTTAAATAGGATGAGAAGATGAAATAACTGAATTGAAAAGGTGTGTCATTGCGATTTGTTAGACATTTTAAAGTGAACTTGGTTGTAAAATGCTGATTTTTAAAATGCCACGCTGATTTCACAGCAAACATTCTAGGCAAAAGCCCCAACTACTGGCAAGAAAAGCTCTTAAACAGAAATATCCAACATATCATTGGGCATTTGTTTATGCAAAAAGAGCAAATAAAGTAATAGCATTGCTGGTCCCAGTGGGAAACTCTTTCCAACTTAGGTAAACAGACATTTGCAACAACAGAGATTAAAGCTTTATGCTAACCTGATAGTAACATATAAAATTTAAAAATGGTTTCAGCAGCAAATTCAACATCAAATAGCAAATATCTCCATGTCCAGTACATTCTTTCAGAACAAACAAAACTTCTCTGCTGACTCAGGGTAAGAACTCAAGTCCCTCAACACAGAAGACTGCATCTAACCACCGCTGCCTAATCTGATTTCGCTTGTTGGAGCTCTTTCATTTACTTTGAATTAATACATATTAGCCCAAAATGGTAAACTACTGCCAGTGGTTCACTGGGGGACTGGGATACACTCAAGTTTCTGGACTAAATCAGGCAGAGCGGGATCAGTGTGTTTCCGACTATGGAAAAGACACCACCACTATGGTGGTGTCTTTTTCCCTCGGAAAATGAAGAAAAAAGGTGCATATTCATGGAGAGAAAAAAAAGCCCTTACTTCTCTATTCTAAGGAATCATAAACCCATCCATGAAATGGATGTCCGTAAGAAGATCCAAATAATTTATTTCTCAAAGAACCTTCTGAGCACCTACAAAAAGTGAAAAGGTGTTTGGGGGGGTGGAAGGAACCCCAGCCGGAAATAGTGAAAGACTGTTGAAAGAGGGACCTCTCTATTATTTTGCAAATGTACCTGTAAAGAAAGATATATACTTACAGGTTACTTACAGATTTGTTAACAGTAATTTTTATCTCCTTCACTCCGTAAATATGTTTAACTTCTTCAGCTGTTTCTTCTCTCAGAAATAGAAAGTATTGCGTGTACACAGTATTTAAATAACAGTTTCAACTACGAATGACAGATACTGCCCCGACAAAAAATGTTACAGATGAAGAGGCAGAGACAAGTCCCATTCCTCCCCCCCCCCAATCTAAAAAGCGCCACTTCAAATCTGTTCCATGGTAAGTCTTTTAGCAAAGTCAAAATAATTTTTCTTTTAATGTTACTTGTTGCAATCTATGCTTTTCCTGGTTAGACCTGGAAACAGAGAATCTAAGCATTTATCCACGTTTGAAAGAGCTTGCCCATAGAATATGAAGGCCTCAAGCGAAACCAGCATACCAAAAAAACAGCTTGGCGACACACTAAGAAAGACAGCAGTTACCTAACAACATAGCCTACACAGCCTTCTCCATTCAAAGAGATCACCGATTTGTATAAAAACAGATGTTCTGACTCTAATATAGAACTTTGTATTCCAGAGATCTCAAAGTAGCTTAGAAATAAGATAGCATCTTAGAAAACTGGCAAGAGGGCACAAAGAAAGGATGTAACTTGCCAAGGTTAGCTGCAGAACTGAAAAAAAAAACCCCTTCAAATAGAGTAGGACAAGCTCTAGCCCAAAGTAGCATTAGCATATCAGAATATAGGATCACCTCCAAGAGATAGGTTAAACCCCATATGAACTTCATCAGTAAAATCTTGGGCTATGCAAATTGGAAATATATCAGAAATATCAGTGTTAACTTTGTCTAGGGAGAGGATGAAAATCTACTTCTGACACTTCTGTCTACAATCAGTTGTTAACTAACAACCTGAACTTTAAATAAACCACAGTTGTTTAAGGAGGAAATATGTTGCAAATTGCCACGTACCTTTCAAGATATGCACAGGAGGAAGGTGAAACTATAATTCTGAAATCTAATAACACCTGGCTTTAATTTATATTTTATTTCCAAGTGGTTTTCACTTCATTTTTACAAGAACAACCTAATGTGAGCTGAAACTGGCATAATACATATTTACCCAGCAGGTCTATGAACAGCTCTTCTTAACTCTATTTAGGAGCGTCTATTTCCTTCTTGTTTGCATTTCTTTCATATTCTATATGATCATCTCTGAAGTGTCCTATAATAAAGAGATGGGTCAACTGAAATAAATTCAGAGGAAACCAGGTAATAAATTCTGAACAAACTAGAGGCAAACATGACACATAGGAACAAAATATCGGTAAAGTATTTGCAGTCATGAGTAAAACTGATTCAGGGAACAGGGTTAGGGTGTCCTTTTTCTTCCGACTGCAACAGCAGTGACCATGAAACATTAACTAGATTCTCAGTGAACTACTTTCCGCTTCCTTGGAGGGTGCAACCTCTTTTAGCACAAGGTAAAAACCAAAATACTATTATATCTGTGACTTACTACCTACTAAGCCATAAAGGCTAATTTATACAGTAAATTTATCTTTGAGCAAAGCTATTTTCCTAACAAAGATCACCCTTCAAGTTACAGTGAAGGAAAAGTCCACATCTCTCAGTACAGTCTTATTAAAGTTAAAATGCTTTTTGCCATGCTCCTACTTTTCTTTTTTGTTTTTCCCCCAGGAACTTTTAGAGTACTGAAAAGCAAAACCAAGTCGCTAGTACCTTAACTGAAATACTATCTTGTAAGCTGCTGAGATCCTTAAAAGCAAATATCTGTGTTTTGAGTAACCTTCATTACCTCATTGTACTTAGTCATTGTGTAAAAGTACATAATGATCCTGATTAAACTTGTCTTCTGGAAATTCATCATAAATTCTTCCTGCTCTGCACTTTCCTTTAATTTGTGTCTCTCTGATAACATTTAAAGTCAGGTATTGACATCCCTGACTGAGCAAACAGCTTACTTCAGACAACATCCTGCTTTGCACACTTCGGAAATTCCCAAGACCCTTTTCCTCGGGAGCCATGTTTAAACACAGGCAGTCACCCACAGCCACTTCTGTATTGGTGTTTATTCTTTCCTTTTCTTCACTTTCTTTTAGTTAATTTACTTTCTAAATAGAAACATCCATTCCAGCTCGAGATCAAGGTGCAAAGGTATCTTTTACTTCTTCTCTGCTACTGATACGTGGAAGCAACTGTGACCTTTCTGAAGAAAATCAATTAAAAAAACCCCAAGTAAACGAATCAGTCCCTAACACTACAGGCAAGGAAGAACCAAATAGGCAGCAGCAAGTATGCTGATGCTGTAGCAAGTGAGACGGTCTGTCTTCTGCTGGATATTAAAATAGCTTAGTATAGCAAAAGTGCAGTTAACACTTTTAGGTGTAAGTTCAACAAATCTTCCAAGACCACAACATTAATCATAAGAATGTGGAGGGATTAGCTGAAATTCAAACACAAAAAATAGCACGTGGCAAGAAAGTTATGGAGAGTAAAGCAATAAAAAGCAGAAAGAATACTGGCTTCAGGTCCCCTTACCTTCTCTTTGCTCCCCTCTCCTTCAGTGAACTGAAACAGCCTTCACAAAAGTAGCAGATCCAGGGCCTGGACAAACACCATCCCAGAAACATGGTTAGAGCCAAAAAGAATGTGTGCTGCCAAGCTTTTTTTTTTTTTAAAAAGATAGTTTAGAAACAATAACAGGGAAAAAAAAAGAGAGAGAAACTAGAGGTAAGCTAGGAACAGAGAGTATTTCCAAACAAAATACAGAAAAAAGCCAGATGAGGTTGGAACACCAGACCTGTGTGAGGTTTACGTTAGAAGCTTTAGAAACCATAAAGCAACCCTTACTTATGTTGTTTCTTCACGTACACAAAAACAACACTAACTTCTCCAGTTTTTAACAGTATATTCACTGAACAAATAAAACACTAAATAAGTGGTACCTGGAGCTTCGGCACTGTAACATAACCGTGCAAGGAACGAGGCTGCCAACTGCTTCTCTGTTGCATGTGCACAGATTGCCCTTTGGCTCTCAAGGACAACAGACCACAAAAGCAAAGAACAGCATTGATCAGAAAAGTCCAAGTATTCTTTGTGTACCCAGATAAACTCAGTAGTCTGTATGCATCCAGATTTGAATTCCACATCCTAGGAACATCGCACAGATGCAAAAACATCAGATACCTGCATTGCCTAACACAAAACTGTCATGAAGGAGACAAAAGATGCATATGTAAGCTAATTTTAGGAACAATAAGTAGTCGAACTCAGAACAAAATACTTATTTTGTAAATTAAACAGAGTACACGGAAAACAAGGATGCTGCCATGAGAGTGGAAAACCAGTGGTTTGCAGAACAACAGCTTGATTCATTTGCCATAACCAAATAGAGCTAGCCTATGTTACCAGAGAATTTTAAACAGCGATATTAAAACATTAACCAGATGTGAAATAAAGCTTCTAATACCACTAATAACTAGCCAGGCAGCAGCAATACAAAAGATTCAGAGCACACGTTTGCCTTTCTTTCATTCAGTTTTCATTGTTGTTTGGTAACTTCTCTCTTCCTGTTGTTTTGTATGAAAGGCCTTCTCAGACTTCCAGCTTGAGATTCCCTCAGCACACAGTCCCTTCATTATCACTGTGCCCAGGAACAGATTGCTTCCTGTCCCCAACCACTCCAGTTGCTCCAAAAACCTTTAAAGTCTGTTGTGCGTTTCCTTTAAGACTACATTATTATTAGCAAAAGGAAAAATCTTAGAACAGTTCAGAAGCATCCATAACGTTTAATATATTTTTCATCTGTGTCACTTTTTGCCACACGCTTAACTCGGGCTAAACAAGCTAATCAAGAACATCGGTGTCACTTAAGCATTTGCACATTTTTTCAGTACAATAAGACTCGGGTACAGAGCATTTAAATTCATTTCAGCATGTCCATCTCCTTTTCAAATGCTTCCTTACGAGGCAAGGCAATATTCAAATCTGTTTTCACACCGGATAGGAACCACTGGATAAGTAGGGTACACAATTCAAAATATTACTGTTACACATCAGCACAGGGAGTATCCCATCACCTTCTCCTTCCAAAGGACCGAGTCTAGAGCTTCAATGGGACCATCGCTCTTCTTTTTTTAACGAAGTCAGTGAAGTTGTCCTGAATTATGAACATAATCATTCCTGGTTCCTGCTCACATTGATTTGAATTTCACCGATTACTAAGTAGCAGACATCTTTGTCAACAAAATTATTTCTCCTTTCATTTGTAATTTTTCTTAGTATATATATATTCATTACATTATTTTCTTTTTCAGTTAAATATTTCTTTTCCTTTCAATTAACAGCTAAGGTAGCGCTAAGCCTGGGAGTGCTGAAGTAGTAGTATACAATGCTTGAAACACAAGAGAAGTCTGATGAGGAGTATCAATGAAACGCAAACATAAATCCATTCCACACAATAATCTCACATCATCAGTACAATTGTGCTTCTCTATTAAATAAATTTGTTTTTAATGGAAAAATGCCATAGTAAATATGCTGATGCACACCTAATTGGAACAAAATCAGATACAGAACTATTTGCATTAGGAGGGAGTCCAAAGGCTACAGAGAACTGGAGATTGAGAAGTTTGTCCAAAGACAGGAAGAGACTGCAGAAAGTTGGAGGTAGGAACAGCAGACTTTTATACTTGTAAGGGCTGAAATTCAGTTTATCACGATTATTAGAGAACAAAAAACGCTTAAACCTAGAAGATTGAGTCTGATGTAGAAAAAAAGAAAAAACCACGGTACAGATATAATTTGCCTCCTTTAAGATAATGACCTCAACAGATACTTATTGTGCTGTTCAAATCAGAGGAATAATCTGTTCTTCTGGTTTAAAAAATGGTTACTTACCAATCTGCAGTTTGCAGCAAAGGACATTTAGCATAGATACAAGACAAAAAAAGTAATGGTAAACATGCTACTTGGAACAGCCTAGCAAGCAAGTCTGTGAACTCCTTTCTCACTTGAAGTGAGGGAAGCAGAAGCTAACCAAACCCCAAATATATATCCTTTGATGTCCAAAGGTAGGATTTAGAGAACCGTAACATATCAGTCTGGAAAGGTATTAGAAAAGATAATAAAGCTTTATTACTTTAATTAATAGACTGGGCCACTGACATGTAGAGAAAGGTTTCGACATGTAAATTATGCTTCAGTTTCAGCACAAACTAAAGATTTAGACTGCTCTGAAAACAGTTATCCCCCAACTTTTCTTCTGCATGGTTTCCAGTTTCTAGTGGTCTGTAAGTAGCCTACTGTCAAAAATAAATGAATTTGACACTGCTGAGGCAGCTAGCGTTCCTATGACCACACTGGAACAGCCACTGCTGTTGAGTCAGACAAATGAGCTGTCAGGATATTATATTCATACTTCTAGCGAAGAAACTATTTTAAGGGTTTCTTGATTGGAGTTATTTAGTGGAATGCGTAAGTCTAAAAAGAACAAAGTTATCTATTCGATATCTCAAAATTCATAGCTCAACTCTTTCACTGAAATCCTGCTGGCCAGGTGTCCAATTAAATGTATTCCACATAAATACAAAAAACAATTAGAAAAACATTAAAACAAGCAGCACTAACATTTATTGAGAATGTAGCGCAATCTTACGAGACTCAGTTTCATTATTTCAATTTGATTAGCTGTGCAATAACTTTAATACTTAGGTTAGTGTATTATTAGCAGAGCACACCAAATGGACAAATTTATAGATAGAAAGATGCAGTAACAGACAGACAAATATACTGGCCAGCATGAGGTGCTAAGCTTTTGTTGATGTCCTCCTCCATCATTCTGAAACAGCCATTTCTTGCAATACTAATCAGTGCAACCATACTCAGAACCCTGTACCTGAAAGACCTTTGCATTTGCAACATTACTCTAAACACACTTAGACAATATTGGGAGAATATACTACATTAATGATTGTTTTTCAACAAAATTTTCCAATGATCACTCATGCACAAGTTTTTAAATAAGAGTTTATTACAGAAATTATTTGGAACAAAAAAGGCAACAGTATCTGTTGTAATTTAAAAAAAAAAAAGTAACATTGTATTCATGCCCTATAAGGTGAACTGAAGAAATGCTACAGGTTATTTCTTCCGCTGTCATTCTGTGACGCTTTCTAGTATGGATTAACTCACATCTGCATCACAAGAATAAAGTACGAACACAGTCCCTTTCCGTGCTTCTCTCCAGAAAGTGCTGCATATTAACAGAAAATATTGCAGACAGACCACAGTTCTATTCATTCTGCAGTATTGGAACCAGTGTCTAGGAAAGAAAAAAGAAAGTGTGAGTAATACATAACCCCCGCTACAGTTGAGTATAAATTAAAGAGAATTAATATCATTCTCTAATACCTTCCCCAAGCTCAAAAGCATTCCCCAAGCATTTTAGAACACGTTCTGTACCTACCCATTTCCCTCCACTGCTATCAATGTGATGCATGAACTGCTTGTGCTCTTTCACTTCAGTTAGCAACATTGAAAAGAGCCAGCACAAAACGTCAAGGTTGTGCACACACATCATTTGCTTATAAGGCATTAAAAATACAAGCAGCTTTGCTCTAACTTGTAGTGATACACAAACACTTTATTGCAGTCAGCCACAAGCACATCTGGCTAAATCACATGATCTACTTAAGAAAAAGGGTTTTGCACATCCAGTAGCATAGCTCCATCCTATGGAGCGTGGGCTATAGTCTATTATGCATTTTGAAATAGATGCAAGAATGAGCATGATCTTCATAAAACAACTGAGAGCAATTCTCTGTTCTGAACTTCTGTCAGAAGCACAAATTAACACCAGTGCAATTTCTGGTATTACTACCATGACTGCTTTCTTGTTCTTAGAGCAATGGAAAAAATACATAAACTTGGATACGGAGAAAGACAAATCAGTGTTTACTACGTTCCTTTAGCAAGTCAACTTCTTGTGGGGGAAAAAAAAGCTGTAATGTTAATAGCAACTTTAAGTCACCCACTTCTTGAAATTTTATCTGTATACTTTATCAAGAGTGAAAAAGATTCATACTTGAAAAGTAAGGTTTCCTCTACTAGCTATAATAAGCACACAAAAAATAAACAGAGTAAGACTATATGCTTGACTAATACCAGAAGTTGAGCAAACAATAAATTCTGTCAACTCTAAAAGTACAACTTGAAGTGACTACTGTAGTCATGCCAGGATCAGGAAGCCATGAAGAACCTGTTTCAGAGGTCTAGGGTATATGTAAATAAAGCCTTTTCCATTCTCAGTTCTTTCTTTTAGCATCGCTTCCCGGGGATGAAACAAGTGGCACCATTTCACACATCTTTAGCGATATTCTGGCACATTGATGGTTTTAAAAGTTAGAAACCAGCTTGCCACAAAAGTCACTAAATGACTTTTTCCAGTAAAGAATTTCAAGGAACACTGACAGAAGTAATCCGGTCAAGCAGATATGGAACATAAACTCCCATAAGCAATGTACATACAGTGAGCCTGTTGAGCAATACAATCTTGTAATATGATTTGCCAATGCTAGCATAAGCTTTTCATGTGCTTGGGTCCCCTACTATCAAATCCAGCAAACAATTGCTTAGACAGTTTTCTCAGGCAATTGCTTGCTCAGACTGATGAAGCACTCCTTCAATTCAACAAAACATGGTGCTGTTCTAACAAACAGGTTAATACTAGAAAAATCACCACACAGAAATTCAATTAAGGTTACTTCCAACTTTCTAATCGCTCTAGCAGTACGTACTTCCCAACAACAGGTGTACAGCAGTCTCTAACACATTCCTAATTTCAGTGCTTATGAGTTAAGGAAGCATTTAGCTTGCTTTTGTTTCATTTCTCATCATATGTAAAAGGGAGTGCAGAGCCCTACTTTTGTCTGAATAATACAATCAATCTAGCTTTAATCAGACATTTGGTCAAAGCTTTCTATAAATGATCAAGTCTTGCGTCTCAGCTTATTTATATCATATTCCATACTTACTTTTTCCATCACATGCTACAATTTTCACTTTATCCACTTTCACAAGTTCAGTGACCTCCCTAAATTCAACATCATTCAGTACAAATGTCCATACGTTGTCACAGAACCTGTATGTATTCAGAGACCCCTTTAAAAAGACAAGAGACATTTTCTATAGGATGCATCCCAAAAGTAACAGAAAATACGATGTTTACTATCTACTGAACTACGTACCTTCTAGAACTAGGTTTGCCATAAAGCCAACTGTGAACCTGAATGCATACAAACTTGGCAAGCAAGCAGTTCTGAGGAAAACTGCGGTTTAAATGCCCTCCAGTGGCTGAAATTCTCAAGACCATGTAGTGACGTTACAGCCTATCCAAGGGGAAGCTTCACAGGTACGCTACGGAGTTTTATAACTTTTCTAATGTGTATAAAGGATCAGTATCAGAAAAGATTTCTTAAAACATGGGCCGTAAGAAAAATCAGTTACAGCAGTGATCATAACAAGATGCGAATTTTGTGACTGTTTAAATAAAGCGACAGTCGAAATAAAAAATCACGACAAAACTGACCTATGTGACATAGAAGGGTATCCTTCACGTTTGATGTATTACTGAGGATGTTGATATATAAACCTTTTGGCCTTCATCTTCACATATTTTAAACTGATACTTGGAGCTTAAGTTCAAGAATATAATTTTTTTAATTTATCCACTAAACACATTCTGAACAGTTTTCTATACCACGTTACATACACAAAGCAAGTTAAGTGTGTTAGAGGTTAGAAGTTATGCTCTTTTTAACATATCTATACGGTTTAAAAATCTAAAATCTTAAGAGCCCACTTCCTTAATGCGTTCTGCATAGACATAGGAAGTATTAGGACATAAGTTAACATGACAACTGTTTTGGGTTTGTTTCTTTGTTTTTTCTCAAAATTACAATCAAGTTGACATTCAGCAATTCGCTGGCTATCTGACATTAATTAGGGTGGCTGGCTGGGAAAAAACCTCAAACTTATTTTTCTATGACACTTACAGAAAATAGCTACAAAATGATCCAGTGACTTGCACAAGGGTAGATCTACAACTCTCTAGTCTCTCTTCACATTATAGATGTGGCTGAAAATCCGGCCTCACCTCATTTCTGCCATGTACAACTAAGAGAAGCAAAAGTCTGCCTCCCCATCTGCAAGACACCGAGGATGGCAATGCCACCCATCAAAGCATTTCCCTCTTCCCCTTCCCCTGTTTTCATCCGTCCACCAAATCTGTTTCTGATTTTTGCATTCCTTCAAAAGATCCCTGGCAGAATAAGAAGATAACAAGCGTTACAACTGCGTACAGAATACACATGTAAACAGTCATTATTTCAGAGTCAAAATGGACCTTCGTAAGTTTTTGCTTAGAGCACACAGCTTTTAACGACATTCTGCATCAACACTTAGTTACTGTACCTCAGGAAGAACTTTTATATATTGTTATCTTACCCTGAAATTGACTCTGTTCCTGACTCGTTGTGCCAGTGCCGAATTTATAGCTTTATCAAACTGAAGTAGCACCTGAAGGGCCAGCTGAGGCGTGATTTGCTGTGACTAAATCAGTTTAAAAAATAAAAAAAAAAGTTTTGAGTCGTTTCAAAGTAAACTCAAAAATGCAGTAAAAATTAAAAACATCAAAACAAAGTTCACGTGAAGCAGATCTCTAGAAGAACAATTTACAGAAGTCTTACGTTCCTGTGTTTACTTCCTTTTTCCTATTTTAACTCTGAGAGAAGAAACGATGCGCTGACAAGTTTTTTTGTGCTACACAAAGATTTCTTCTGATAAATATTCATTGGAAGCAACCAGAAGAGCAGGAAATCGATTACAGCGTTCCAGATTAATCTGGCTGTTCACTTACTGGGCCACACAAGAGGAGCTTACGTCACTTACATAAAACATTTTCCTTCACCTAGAACGTCAAGAGAAAGACTTCCCACGTGAACGGAGTACCAATAGCTTTTGATTTCAATCAGTACGTTTTCCAAACGTTGGCCATAAGTACCGCCATACAGCAACCACAAAGCCATTTTAATAACTAACCTCTCTTTTTATTAAGCTAATTGCCCAGACCTTAAACCCCACACGCACCTGTATGAGCTCATCCAGACTCTCCTGAAGACTGTTCCCCAGCGTGGTATTTCTGTACAGCTGATACGCCATGGTTTACCGAGATGAGATGGGCCGGACACCTTCCTCGGGCTCTGGGCGCCTGTTACGTCCTCGCTCTCATTTAAAAGAAACGGAAATACAAAAAATCTAAAGAACGCAACAGAGCCCTTAACGCACAACGCACAGCAAGAGCAAACACTGACCGACAACTACGAGCGCCCAAGAGCACAGCGCGTTAACGACCGGCAGGAGAACCGGGCCGCCGGAAGGCAGTGGGGAGGGCGCCGCGCCGCTGCGGGCCCACACCGGCAGGCCTTTGTGCCCGACGGGCACGGAAGCGGCGTGCCGGGACGGGGCCGTCTTTGTTCGCCGCCCTTTCGGGTTCTAGACCGATCCCCCGCACCACGCGCCCCTCG